TGGGCTGAAGGACTGGAAGAAGGGGGTCACAGCATGACCAGACCCTGTAGACAGTGCTTATCTCTCTCTCTCTCCCGTTGTCTCTCTCTTTCTCCCTCCTTCCTTTACTCATTCTAAAATGTGTGCACTCACCCTATTATGAACAAACAAAATAATAAGATGACATATCTTTACTTACTAACTACCCATATATCTAATTTTTCACCTTAGGAGCTGCAAGGAGATTAAAAGTTCATACATTGTTTCATAAGGGATAAAACAAATTACTTAAATAAAAATTATATCTAAAATAAAATGCTAAGATGAATCTGAATCTGGTCAAATGCATAGGCAACTAAATGTGGGCAATTAAGGAACAGATATAAACATAATCTAGAATTATCATGAAATCCATAGCAATTGAGGAGAAAAGAATTGAGGAGTCTGAAGTTTGAGCAGCATCTGCATAGAGTTTGAAAAACTTTCCAAGAAATAAGAATATAACAAGAATGCATGTAGAGCCATGGAACAGGTTTTGTGATGGTGTGCCACTATGAAGTAAAAAAGGTCTTTGCCGATCTAATTGTACTTCAGAAAACTAAAAACAACAGAAAAAGCCACACACACACACAAACCCAAAAATCAGTAGAATAAATGTCGAGTGTGCACAACATAATGTAATGTTCCATGCTGAAGATTATGAATGTATTTATATTCGCCTTGATTTGATTGTTATGCAATATGTGCATTCTTGTAAAAGCCATATTGAAACTCAAAAAAGTGTACAACCATGATATGTATATCAGATATTACATTAAAAAAGACCAGGGGTGAATAAAGACGCAAAGCTTACATGTACAGAACACCATGAATATTATCCAATTTAGAGTATAGAATGTGTCTTTCTGGAGAATATTGATAGTAGGGTAGCTGTTTACACTGGCTGCCAGGAAAAAGATGGAATAAAGCAAAGATACTTTTTGAGTTCAGGTTTCCCATGGATGGGCTTTAAGAGGATTTTCTTAATCCTGAAGGATTGTTTCCACTGGCATGTTCCTTGAAAGCCCATTTCAAAAGATGTAATTGAGGCCTTTTCTTTAAAGCAATATTCCCCTTGTTACATAAGACTTCAAAAAGTTCATAGAAAAGTAGAATTAAAGTACAAGTTAATTTTGGAGCAAAAAAAAAAAATGTTGAAATTCATGTAGTTTCTCATAATAGGCATTTTCCATGAACTTTTTAAGACCTCTTTTTTTTGGAGAGGTTTTTGCTATAGGGCATGTGCGCTCTCCAGAAAGACACAGAGAGACAGAGAGACAGAAAGCGAGAAATCACCCCCTAGGGGGATGTCCACACTGCAATCTCTTCTCTTCCATTATTCTCTCAGGATCTTGGGCACACACACACATGCGCCCAGAGTGAGTTTAAGCCACCACATCCAGGACCCGAACCATGATCAACAACATAGGAGACCAGCGACATAGCCATTACTCCAACTGCTGATCCCTTGAAGACGTTTTGAAGAATTATTATTATCTATACTATTATACTAACTATTCATTAATTATATTTATCATATGTTAAGCTAATGATTTTTACATAAAATAAGTGTTCTATAGTCAAATACATCTTGGAAATACTACCTTAATGTTGAACTTTCTTTGAAAACTACATAAATTAATTTTCAGAGTTTTTAATATACTTAAATGTATTATAAATTGCAAACAGAAAATTTATATTACCTCAGAACCCCAAATCCTACCCCCCCACACCTTTTTAAAAAATTTAAGATAATACTTCACCATCTTGTAATCCTGTCTCAGCTCTCAGTTAAATTACAGGCTCCCACCACCACAACAGGCCTTTTTAAAGTTGGACCAGGAACTGAACTTGGGATTCCATGTGGTCCCAGCCTGTGAACAAGTGTCTTAGCAACATGCACCACTATGGATGGGCCTTTTTTCTATTTTGTAGCATTAATAAAAATTAGGATTATTTGGCACAAATTTTAGAAAATGTTAACTTAAAGCATCTACACATATATTTGAAAAAAATGTTCATTGAGATAAGTCTCTAATTTGAGGGTAAAGATAGTAAAACAATATCCAAGATCATCATTATTATTATTATTTTTTAGAGAGATTTTTTTCTATAGGACATGTACGCTCACCGGAGAAACAGAGACAGAAAAATGAGAAATCACCCTGCCAGGGGGATGGCCATGCTCCAATCCTTTCTCTTCCATTCTCCTCTTGGGATTTTGGGCATGCATGTATATGCGCCCCAAATGAGTTTAAGTCGCCAGGTACAAGACTCAACTGCAGTTGACTACATGGGAGTCCAGTGACATAACCATTATGCCATCTGCCCATCTCCCAAGATCATTATTAACCAGCCTACCTTGCCTCTCCCTATCTTGCCAAAGGCTAAGAAGCAGGAAGGGAACTACAACAGTATGTGTGTGGGTAATCTTTTCAAAGCATTTACACATAGTATATGCCAAATAAATGTTTTTGAGTGTAAAGTTTTTATACAATTCAAATCTATCATAAACAAATGATAAAAAGCAAAAAAGGGATTTTCAATAACTGTTGTTAACAAATAATTTAAAATATTGACCTTTACTTTGTCACAATGTCAAGAAAGAATTTTTTTCCCCAAAACTATTAAGGGAACAAAATAGCCTTAAAGGAAACATTCTCAAGTTCAGTTTTAAGAGTTTATGTTTGGAAATGTAAATTTCCTCATTTCTCTAGCTAATGGTTTACCAGTGGCACTAGTTTATCAGGATAGAGATGTACTGCATGTTTGATCATGCTTTATGGTGGAAGGAAATGTTGCCTGCTTAGAAAAGTTTATCTGAAGGAATAAAGACAGATTAGTGAAGGATCTATTTGCTCCTAAAAAGGTTTTCAAGTTCATTTTCTGAAGTTAACTGTTATAGCCAAAGTGGAACACTACTGGACCTAAATTCTTGTTAATGGAACACTCCAGTAAATTCCATACAAGTATCTACACAATTCTATACTGCTATGTGCCTCAGTGAAGAGGAAACTACATATGAGTTGAGAAAAGTGAGAAGAAGGAAGGGGTTATACCACACATTGTGGGTATCACCACAGTCTCTCCTAAGATCAAATAAAACCACTGAACATATATCTACTGTAGATGGCGAGGGAGCTGGGAAAGAGCATGGAGGATGTGAGTTCAGCAAAATGCAAACTGGCAACTGTGTTAGGACTTTGGCCTGCCTAGAATGGTGTTTTCATTTCCTTTTATATGTGAATGAAGATTGTTTTCTGACCTTTCTAAACAGGATCTGGTGTATACAAAGGTTTCTGTTAAAGGCTAGAATTTTACATGGAAATTAAGATTATGTTCTTGCTTTACACAGTAATGGGGCTCTTAAGTTGATTTTCAGCAATAAGGTATTAAAGGTCATTTATTCAATGTAAGTGATAGATCAAACAGTGCAGTTTTAAAAAATCTTGGCTTGGTGGGGCCAACAGTTGGCATGAAGGTTAAAGTACTGGATACACACGTGACTTACTCTATGGTTCAAGTTCCAGACCCAGTTACTGGAAAATCACACCAGACGTGTGTGTGTACTTGCCCAAGATCCTGAGAGGAGAATGGAGAAGGGATTGTGGTATGGCCATTCCCTGGGGGATGATATCTCACTTTTTCCTCTCTCTACACACACCATATAGCAAAAACTAAAGAAACAAAAACAAACAAAAATCTGTTCTAGGCCAGCCAGTGGTGTGGTGGTTAAGGTGATGGGATCCCATATGATCAACTGCACAGTTCAAGTCTTAGACCTAGAGGCTTGAAATGCACTCTTTTTTTTTAAATTATTTTATTTAACTTTATTCATTTATTCATTTTTATTTATTTTAATTTGACCAGAGAGGGACAGAGAGAGAGAGAGAGAAAGCTGACAGATCCAGAACTTGAACCGTGGTCAACCATGTGGAAGTCCAGTACCCTTAACCACCACACCACCTGCTGGCCCCAAAATGTACTCTTGGCGAGTGTACATGCATACCCAAAATCCTGAAAGGAGAGAAGAGAAGGGATTGTGGTATGGTTATCCAAGCTGGAGGTGCAATTTCCCACCTTCCCTCTTTGTCCCTCTCTGCTCCTCTCCAGTGGGTCAACAAGCCCTATGGCAAATTAGAAAAAAAAAATCTTGTTTAGAAAATCCTATTGGGATTCATTAAGTGAATCTGACAGTGTTAATATATAAATTGATACCTTAACAAATTTTCTTTTTTTTTTTTTTTTTTTTTTTTTTGCCATAGGGCACATGCTTCCCCTAGAGAGAGACAGGAAGAAGGAAAGTGAAAAATCACCCCTTGGGGGATGGCCACACCACAATTCTTTCTCCTCCATTCTCCTCTTGGGATTTTGGATACATTTGTACATGTACCTGGGGTGAATTTCAAGCAATCAGGGACTTAAACTGCTATCAGTCATGTGAGAGTTCAGTGCCTTAAGCACCATGTCACATCCTGGCTCCAGTTGATACATTTTTTATCAAAGGAGAAGTGTTACTCAAAGTAAGCAATTGGTTTGTAATACTGTTTGAAAATATTTTTAAATACAGATATAGTGTCAAAATTAAATATACATATTCTATTTAATAGACTAACATATATTATTCTATTAAAAATATACTTCCCTAATTGCAAACTCATTTAGCTGTTTCATTATACATAAATGACAAAAGTAATTCCATACTAAGATTTAACATCCTTAAACTAGGTACATTTCTTTTTTAAAAAATTATTCTTTATTTTCATTTTAAAACATTTGCGGTATCATTTACTGAAGGCACTGTGTCACATATTCATTTTTAATAACATCGCTTGATATCTCTTTTAAGTTATCTTTGACATTTTATGTTGCTTTTTTACTGTCTTATTCTCATGGGCATTGTCTGTGCATCACTGTTAACCCTACAACATGTCCAATTCAGAGGATAAATATTTCCACTCAATATAGTCTATGACACATAGTAGCCATAAAATTGTTTCGATAATAAAGCAATGTTAATTTTGAATCCTGGTAATCTTTACATATTCATATACTTAATGTCTTCTGATATATTTAAAGTGGCTTAAAACGTAGTGCAACTATACTTTACATGAATCGTCTTACAAAAATCAGTACAGAATTACTACCAGTACATATTCATCCACATACATATCAAATAGCTTCAGCGTTCAGTTTCCACTGTGTCCATCTAATACTACGTTATGACGTTTAGCTATTCTAATCCATCTTTTTTTGAGGATACATTCAGTAACTTCTAGGAGACACTCTGCTCCCCAAAACTGCACAAATGAATAGATTCTTGGAGAATCCCACTATAGTTCATGTTTCTAGATTTGCCACTGTATGTTTTTCAGTGTTTTTTAGCACCTCTCAAAATTTTATTCCAACAAGTTTTTATCTCATCTAGTAATCTTTTTACAAAACATGGAGAGTCATCCTGTTTTTTCTGTTCCTTTAAAAGTTTCTTCTCTTCCTAGAGAAAAAAAAATAATTAATTTAGTTTCATATTTTATAAAAATACACATTTAAAAATATTCAATTTTCCATTTCTATTGGGTTATTTTAATATTTTGATATAACAGAAAAGGGTAATCTTGCATGACATTTTTAACTACAATTTCTCACTATAATTGATTAATATAGAGGAAATTCAAGGTTGATGTGGTCAAAGATTTAGAATTCATGGAAGAGCTATGTTAGCTGGCTACCACCTTCACACTTCGATAGTAAACATAATAATTTTGTTTGAACTTTCATGAGAAAAATATCTGTAGATTATTTAGCTGAGATTTTTAACACAAATTATCTATTTTTATGATAAGGAATAATTAATATTGAAAATGTTCAGATTCTTTTGGTACACTTCATGAATAAGGATATACTTGACTGAGCTTGTGCTTTAGGGTCCACCCCAACCACCTGGTCTTCCCCAGAGTATATCAGATGCCTTCTTTCTTTTTTTTTTTTTTTAAAGTAATTATATTTAACTTTATTTTATTTTATTTATTTATATACTTATTTATTTTTAATTTAACCAGAGAGGGATAGAGTGAGAAAGAGAGAGGGAAAGTAAGAAAGCAAGTTGCCAGGTCTGGGACTTGAACCGTGGTTGACCATGAGGGAGTCCAGCACCCTTAACCACTATGCCACCTGCTGACCTTGCAGATGCTTTCTTATAGCATTTTTAGTACTTGATGAAAATCTTAAAAAGGACTGACTGACTGTAATGTTGTAAGGAGAAGTATGTCACTGCAGGAAACTAAAGCTGTATGGGAGGCCCAGATCTGCCTCCTAGACAAACCTAAGACAGGCCAGAAAAAGTAGTCTACAGTCCTAGGTAACAGAGAGGTTAAGGCAGGATCCCAACATGGAGAAACACTGTCAAAAATTTCTCTTATACTCTTTATTTTTTTCTCTCTCTCTCAGAAAAAAAAATGAAAGAAAATAAAAGAGAGCTTCCTGTATAATCTATGAAAATGGAGAAAGGGATACCTTGCATGGAAGAGACATATATAAAGGGGTAACTTTGTGAAGACATGGTAATATTCATGAGTCCTCTGTCCTGGGCATGTGGGATTAGTGCAGGATAGGGTAATTCTTTATTAGATAACAACCAGTTAGTTATTGGGTATTCTCTAGGTCAGATATTGCACTCAATGCTTTACATAAAATACTTCCTCTTATCTGCTTAGTAACAGTCTGAACTTCATTTTACTTTATTTCATAGATGCAATTGAGCTGTAAAGTAGATAAGTAAGGTCACAAGTCAAGTAATTGTAATGTTGAGTCTTGACCTTGTTTGCTCTATTTTTAATTTAATCACGAATTTGGATCTCTTTCAGTAATACATCCAGTAACACTAGCATCTACCTTTTGAATAATACATTTCTAAAATTATACAACAGATTTCAAACATAAATATGGAGAAAAGTTTTTGATATTTTAAAAAAATCGAGTTCCAGGACAATTTTTTGAAAGTACAAATTGAGAAGCCAACAGATGGCATGAAGATTAAGGTGCTGGACTCCCACATGACTGACCACGGTTTCAGTCCCAGACTTGGCTGCTTGAAAATCATGCCAGGTTCGTGTGTGCGTGTGCCCAAAATCCCAAGAGAAAAATGGCATAGAAGGGATTATGGTGTGACCATTCCCCCGAGAAGATTATTTCTCACTTTCCCGCTTTCTGTTTCTCTTTGTCTCTCTCTGGTGAGTGCATTTACTCTATAGCAAAAAATCAAAACAAAAACAGAAAAAACAGTACAAGTTGGAGTTTATTTGATGAACAAACTTTGAAATACAAAGATGTGAAAATTCCATGACTTTTCCTCAGAGCCAAAGAGCACCCATTAAAAAAAAAAAAAATAGGCAGGTAGGTGGTGTGGTGGTTAAGGCAATGGATCCCACTTGGCCAACTCTTTGGTGTGAATCCTGGACCCGATGACCTGAAAAACATGAAGAGCGCAAGTACATGTGTGTCCAAAATTCTGAAAGTGGAATAGAATAGAGATTGTGGTGTGACCATCCCACCGGGAAAGTGATTTCCCATTTTCTCTCCATCTGTCTGTCTCTGGTAAATGCCACATGAACTAATTTAAAAAATTAAAAAAAAAAAAGACTAAAACAAATCATCTTGATTTTATCTAGGAACATAGGTATGTTATCTCCCTTTTCTTAACTTTCCTTCCAAATTCTTTTAAAAGCACTCATTGTATATTTATATTGCTTTTAGCTCATTTATTTATTTCATTCATCTCAAATCTTTCACTTAATAGTAGAATTCCCCCAGAGTATATCAGATGCCTTCTTTCTTTTTTTTTTTTTTTTAAAGTAATTATATTTAACTTTATTTTATTTTATTTATTTATATACTTATTTATTTTTAATTTAACCAGAGAGGGATAGAGTGAGAAAGAGAGAGGGAAAGTAAGAAAGCAAGTTGCCAGGTCTGGGACTTGAACCGTGGTTGACCATGAGGGAGTCCAGCACCCTTAACCACTATGCCACCTGCTGACCTTGCAGATGCTTTCTTATAGCATTTTTAGTACTTGATGAAAATCTTAAAAAGGACTGACTGACTGTAATGTTGTAAGGAGAAGTATGTCACTGCAGGAAACTAAAGCTGTATGGGAGGCCCAGATCTGCCTCCTAGACAAACCTAAGACAGGCCAGAAAAAGTAGTCTACAGTCCTAGGTAACAGAGAGGTTAAGGCAGGATCCCAACATGGAGAAACACTGTCAAAAATTTCTCTTATACTCTTTATTTTTTTCTCTCTCTCTCAGAAAAAAAAATGAAAGAAAATAAAAGAGAGCTTCCTGTATAATCTATGAAAATGGAGAAAGGGATACCTTGCATGGAAGAGACATATATAAAGGGGTAACTTTGTGAAGACATGGTAATATTCATGAGTCCTCTGTCCTGGGCATGTGGGATTAGTGCAGGATAGGGTAATTCTTTATTAGATAACAACCAGTTAGTTATTGGGTATTCTCTAGGTCAGATATTGCACTCAATGCTTTACATAAAATACTTCCTCTTATCTGCTTAGTAACAGTCTGAACTTCATTTTACTTTATTTCATAGATGCAATTGAGCTGTAAAGTAGATAAGTAAGGTCACAAGTCAAGTAATTGTAATGTTGAGTCTTGACCTTGTTTGCTCTATTTTTAATTTAATCACGAATTTGGATCTCTTTCAGTAATACATCCAGTAACACTAGCATCTACCTTTTGAATAATACATTTCTAAAATTATACAACAGATTTCAAACATAAATATGGAGAAAAGTTTTTGATATTTTAAAAAAATCGAGTTCCAGGACAATTTTTTGAAAGTACAAATTGAGAAGCCAACAGATGGCATGAAGATTAAGGTGCTGGACTCCCACATGACTGACCACGGTTTCAGTCCCAGACTTGGCTGCTTGAAAATCATGCCAGGTTCGTGTGTGCGTGTGCCCAAAATCCCAAGAGAAAAATGGCATAGAAGGGATTATGGTGTGACCATTCCCCCGAGAAGATTATTTCTCACTTTCCCGCTTTCTGTTTCTCTTTGTCTCTCTCTGGTGAGTGCATTTACTCTATAGCAAAAAATCAAAACAAAAACAGAAAAAACAGTACAAGTTGGAGTTTATTTGATGAACAAACTTTGAAATACAAAGATGTGAAAATTCCATGACTTTTCCTCAGAGCCAAAGAGCACCCATTAAAAAAAAAAAAAATAGGCAGGTAGGTGGTGTGGTGGTTAAGGCAATGGATCCCACTTGGCCAACTCTTTGGTGTGAATCCTGGACCCGATGACCTGAAAAACATGAAGAGCGCAAGTACATGTGTGTCCAAAATTCTGAAAGTGGAATAGAATAGAGATTGTGGTGTGACCATCCCACCGGGAAAGTGATTTCCCATTTTCTCTCCATCTGTCTGTCTCTGGTAAATGCCACATGAACTAATTTAAAAAATTAAAAAAAAAAAAGACTAAAACAAATCATCTTGATTTTATCTAGGAACATAGGTATGTTATCTCCCTTTTCTTAACTTTCCTTCCAAATTCTTTTAAAAGCACTCATTGTATATTTATATTGCTTTTAGCTCATTTATTTATTTCATTCATCTCAAATCTTTCACTTAATAGTAGAATTCTAGGGCTTCCTAAGTCCGGTTGTAGGCTCACACTGATTCTCCAAAAGGAGTAAGAAATTTCTATGTTGTCATGAATCTACCCATCAAATAACATTATAATAATAATGGGAATGTTGGGACCAGGAGAATCATTGGATTCCCATGTAGTCAACCATGGTTTGAGTAAGGACCCGACAGCTTAAAACTCACACTGGGTTGCGTGCATGTGTGCCCAAACTCCTGAGAGGAGAATGGAGGAGAAGAAATTGCAGCATCACCATCACCAATGAGGGATAATTTTTCATTTTCTGGTTCTTTGTCTTTCTGGTGAGAGCACATGCCCTATAGTAAAAAATCATTCTAAAAAATAATAATAATGGAAATGTAAAATAAGAACCTATTATTCTCCTGAAAAAGACTATTTTTTTTCTTGTTCCACCTTACTTGATACATTGTTTTAAAATTTTACAAGATTCAATGAAGTATTCTGCATTTCTAATTGGAAAATGTTTTTCCTATTACTATATAATTTTCTGTAATAATATCTAATAATATATGGGTCTATATAATGTATAAATATAGAAAATTCATATACTGTTACAGGTTACATATACTGTATAATCTATACTAATAAAACAGTTATAAGATTATTCCTCATTGTTTAATATTTTTGCTTTGCAATCAAGGATGTTTTTCTTCCTGTACTTGTTTTCTAGTTTATTTTTGCCTACATAAATAGTTTTTAAGAATTTTTGCCTATTACCTATTAATGTTTTAATTTGTTACTTTTTAAAAGTAATGCTGTAATGATTTGCTTAGCTGCTTCTACTTTGAGATAGTTTTTTTAAAACACAGTTTAAAGGGATTAGGTTTTTAAGGGTACCTCATTTCATTAATATTATAATGAATTTTTTAAATCAACCATTAAAAGAGAAACAATTCAAAGAAAAATGTTAAGGAATTGAGTAAAAAGATGTCAAACCATAAAGAAAATCATGCAATTGCTCTCACCAAAGTCTTTGTAGGTTGGACTTTATGCAGTGTAGGTGGTTTTCTTTCTTTAACCTTAAAAACAAAGATACTTTACCATATTAATTATTAATCTTTCATTGCACCTCCTTTTAATCATAATTGGTAATTTTCATATTATTTCAGTTTATCTAATGTATTCGAAAATCTACTTTAAATTTCTTATTAAGATAACAGAATATTAATTTCATTTAGAATAGAAGATCAGGGAAAAGGAAAAAGCCAAAGAGGTTAGTCTTCTGAATACCCTAGATCCATGCTTTTACAGGTATGCCAAGCACTATGTTGATTGCTGTGAAGTAATGAAAAATGAACACAGTAGGGTATGTTACAGTGGAGATGAAACTTAAATTTAAATCAACAGGAGGACAATTTTTTGAAAGTACAAATTGAGAAGCCAACAGATGGCATGAAGATTAAGGTGCTGGACTCCCACATGACTGACCACGGTTTCAGTCCCAGACTTGGCTGCTTGAAAATCATGCCAGGTTCGTGTGTGCGTGTGCCCAAAATCCCAAGAGAAAAATGGCATAGAAGGGATTATGGTGTGACCATTCCCCCGAGAAGATTATTTCTCACTTTCCCGCTTTCTGTTTCTCTTTGTCTCTCTCTGGTGAGTGCATTTACTCTATAGCAAAAAATCAAAACAAAAACAGAAAAAACAGTACAAGTTGGAGTTTATTTGATGAACAAACTTTGAAATACAAAGATGTGAAAATTCCATGACTTTTCCTCAGAGCCAAAGAGCACCCATTAAAAAAAAAAAAAATAGGCAGGTAGGGGGGGTGGTGGGTATAAGGCAATGGATCCCACTTGGCCAACTCTTTGGTGTGAATCCTGGACCCGATGACCTGAAAAACATGAAGAGCGCAAGTACATGTGTGTCCAAAATTCTGAAAGTGGAATAGAATAGAGATTGTGGTGTGACCATCCCACCGGGAAAGTGATTTCCCATTTTCTCTCCATCTGTCTGTCTCTGGTAAATGCCACATGAACTAATTTAAAAAATTAAAAAAAAAAAAGACTAAAACAAATAATCTTGATTTTATCTAGGAACATAGGTATGTTATCTCCCTTTTCTTAACTTTCCTTCCAAATTCTTTTAAAAGCACTCATTGTATATTTATATTGCTTTTAGCTCATTTATTTATTTCATTCATCTCAAATCTTTCACTTAATAGTAGAATTCTAGGGCTTCCTAAGTCCGGTTGTAGGCTCACACTGATTCTCCAAAAGGAGTAAGAAATTTCTATGTTGTCATGAATCTACCCATCAAATAACATTATAATAATAATGGGAATGTTGGGACCAGGAGAATCATTGGATTCCCATGTAGTCAACCATGGTTTGAGTAAGGACCCGACAGCTTAAAACTCACACTGGGTTGCGTGCATGTGTGCCCAAACTCCTGAGAGGAGAATGGAGGAGAAGAAATTGCAGCATCACCATCACCAATGAGGGATAATTTTTCATTTTCTGGTTCTTTGTCTTTCTGGTGAGAGCACATGCCCTATAGTAAAAAATCATTCTAAAAAATAATAATAATGGAAATGTAAAATAAGAACCTATTATTCTCCTGAAAAAGACTATTTTTTTTCTTGTTCCACCTTACTTGATACATTGTTTTAAAATTTTACAAGATTCAATGAAGTATTCTGCATTTCTAATTGGAAAATGTTTTTCCTATTACTATATAATTTTCTGTAATAATATCTAATAATATATGGGTCTATATAATGTATAAATATAGAAAATTCATATACTGTTACAGGTTACATATACTGTATAATCTATACTAATAAAACAGTTATAAGATTATTCCTCATTGTTTAATATTTTTGCTTTGCAATCAAGGATGTTTTTCTTCCTGTACTTGTTTTCTAGTTTATTTTTGCCTACATAAATAGTTTTTAAGAATTTTTGCCTATTACCTATTAATGTTTTAATTTGTTACTTTTTAAAAGTAATGCTGTAATGATTTGCTTAGCTGCTTCTACTTTGAGATAGTTTTTTTAAAACACAGTTTAAAGGGATTAGGTTTTTAAGGGTACCTCATTTCATTAATATTATAATGAATTTTTTAAATCAACCATTAAAAGAGAAACAATTCAAAGAAAAATGTTAAGGAATTGAGTAAAAAGATGTCAAACCATAAAGAAAATCATGCAATTGCTCTCACCAAAGTCTTTGTAGGTTGGACTTTATGCAGTGTAGGTGGTTTTCTTTCTTTAACCTTAAAAACAAAGATACTTTACCATATTAATTATTAATCTTTCATTGCACCTCCTTTTAATCATAATTGGTAATTTTCATATTATTTCAGTTTATCTAATGTATTCGAAAATCTACTTTAAATTTCTTATTAAGATAACAGAATATTAATTTCATTTAGAATAGAAGATCAGGGAAAAGGAAAAAGCCAAAGAGGTTAGTCTTCTGAATACCCTAGATCCATGCTTTTACAGGTATGCCAAGCACTATGTTGATTGCTGTGAAGTAATGAAAAATGAACACAGTAGGGTATGTTACAGTGGAGATGAAACTTAAATTTAAATCAACAGGAAAATAAAGCTCTAATTAAATTCTTAAATCCTGGGTACAAATTTTATTAAGTATCTCTTATCAGAAGCAAAATAAAATAAAACAATAGTAAAAAGCTCATAGCATGCATGACTCAAGAAGAAAATTCAACGTGGCTGACTGTCTTTAACGTCTTCCTTTACCTTTCAAGAAGAAATGTAAACTGGAAAAAAAAAAGTGACTTGTATCAAGTTAGTTAATGTGGTAATATGATTTAATTCCAAGATTTGCAGTATTTGTGTGTTTTTCTCCCTCTATAATTATTCAATTTTGGAACATGGTGGCTCATGCAGAGCTTAACACAAGGGAGAAAGAGTTGCAAATATATAACATACCTAGGACATTTACTGTTTTCCTAGGCCAAGAGGTAATGTCATTCCACCTGCTCTGCATTCTTTTCCATTGCACCCAGACTTGAGAATTGTACTAAACAAGGTATTTTCAACAGACTACTACTCAACTGGATGTGCAAGCACATAAAACCTGTCCTGCCATTCCTGCAGTAGACACTACTTGGAAATCACTGTAAGTAGCAATGAAGACTAGTCATCTAGTAGTGGTAGAATGAAGTCTTTATGAATCTTGAGCTGGATTTAGAAGAATATATAGAACAGGATAGATTTGTAAAACCAAAAAGAAATTCCTTCTAGAGGATCAACACAAGAAATAGCACAAAACTATAAATAAGCTTGGCAAATACAGGACATCAGAATGAGACTGGCTTCCAACAAGTAGATACAGCAAAGATAAATGAAGTTGTCCATATTATATAGTCTTTGTTTTCATCACTGTTTAATAGAGTTCTAAGATAATCATACCATTTTACTTTCTATGGAAACCAGTGGTGTGAAAAACAATTTGTTGTGTCACAATTTGTGTTTCTTTTCAAATTGCTGCCTTAGGGCACACACACTCACCAGAGAGAGAGAGACAAAGAGAGAGGGAAAGTGAGAAATCACCCCCCCCTGAGAAATAGCATGCAACAATTTCTTATTCTCCATTCTCCTCACAAAATTTTAGGTATACACACAAATCCTCCTGGCATTTTTTTTTTTTTGAGAGGTTTTCTCTATAGGGCGCGTGCGCTCGCCAGACAGACAGAGAGAGATAGACAGAAAGCGAGAAATCACCCCCCAGGGAGGATGGTCACGCCGCAATCCCTTCTCCTCCATTCTCCTCTCGGGATCTTGGGCACACATGCACACATGCCCGGCGTGAGTTCTAAGCCACTGGGTCCGGGACGCGAACCGTGATCGACTACATGGGAGTCCAGCGACATAGTCATTACGCTAACTGCTGGTTCCCTTGGCATGTTTTTCAGGCCACTGGGTCTAGGATGCAAACTGTGGAGTCTGCCATGCGGAATCCAGCACCTTAACCACCATGCCACCTGCTGGTCTCACAAGACCAGTTTTCCAAATTATGAAAAATATAAGAAACATTTTGAATTTATGTGGCAGCTGGTAAAGGTCCCAGAGTGGAATAATAGTGATGAAACATTATATTAAACATTAAAAACTTTAGAACTAAGCACATGACGTGACTTATGCCACTGAATCTTTCCAACATTCTCCAATGATATTACTATATTTATCCCCATTTTGCACATATTTAGTCTCAAGATAATATTGCTTAAATTTTTTTTTAATTCATAACCAGGAGGCTGCCTGATATCACAGTGGTTAGGTGCTACTATACATAGGAAGCCAGATCCCATGTGGATAACCAGAGTCCTAGCCCCATTGGCTTCATGATGGGCATGCAAGTAACCAGGATCCTGACAGGATATAGAACTAGATGAAAAAAGACTGCAGCATGCATGGCCTTGCCCCATTGGGTGGTACTTCTCTATCTCTGTGTCTCTTCCTTGTGAAAGTGGATATGTCTGATATTAAAAACAAAAAAATTCATAGCCTCTAGTACAAAAATAGAGAAAAATTAGCCCTGTATGTCTGTATGTATCAATATTATTATTAATGCTATTACACAGTCAGAAAAACACTTCCACATCCATGTTTGTTGTGGCACTATTTACAATTGCTAGGACATGGAATGAACTCAAATGTCCAAAAATAGACAAGTGGATTAAAAAAATGTGGCATATGTACTCTATGAAATACTACTCAACCACATAAAACAATGAGTCCCTGAAACTTGATATGAAGTGGACGAATATGAAAGCCTTAATGTTAAGCAAAGCAAGCCAGACTATGAAAGACAGATTTTGTATGTCCCCACTCAATATATACTGAATATTCATGCTTTGTAGCAGAAACTGAAATATTGGGAGAGAGGGCAACTGTAGATACTAGAGATAGTTGGGGGGGATAAAAAGGGGTCAGTAATAAGGGAGGGAGGGGGAACAGAGAAAAAATACATTTGATTCACACAAAAATAAAAAATATTTGCTGATGATAATGTATGTGGTAGTGTCTTTGTCTTGACTAATATACACTGTATTCATGCTAGGAAAAACCATGTTGTACATTATAAAATGTATAGCGATTAAATGTAAATAATAAATATATAAAAAAAATAAAATATTATTATCATATTTTTACCTAGCATCTCACTGTCACTATCCTCTTTGCCCAGCCTCCCTATAAGTGGGTCTATAGGTGTGAGCCCCATATACTGCTTTCAGGGTGAGATAGGAATCAAACCTGGGCCTCCCAAGTGGCCTCACTGTGCCAAGTGGCAGCATCAGTCAGCACGCTCTATCACAGCTGGGCCCAAATTATTAGAATCATTAAAGCAAGAAATAAAAAAAAAGGAAAATTGTATACATACTCACACACACACAGTTTTAGCATACAAGCATACAGAGATATCTGTTAAATACATTTGATTTCCTATTTTATTAGCTAGGAGTTCTTATAAATGCATACATGTATGTGTGTGCTTGTGTGTGTGTGTGTGTGTGTGTGTGTGTGTAAGTTTTAGATATAAAAATTTGCCATTTCCCACCCAATAAGTCACACTAGCCTCCTTAGTGTTATTATGGCACCAAAGTATCCATTCACTTGTTTTTCACTCCCCTTTCAGAAACTTTTAATTCATCCTAGCCAAGAGATGAACAGGTACTTTCCATCTTAAGCCTTTCCTCTTCTAGAACTGAGTAAATGTGTCTTAATGTTAAACAATTATAAGCACACAGAATTCTACCATATAATGATAGTACTCTAGCACAAGAGTAATTTATATTTTCCTTTAAAGTAAACAGTCCTTAGCTTACCTTGCTGGTGCAGTTCAACAGTATTAACGTGGTTTTTGAAATTCTTTCTGCTTGGTCATTGAATTCTTCACTGTTATTCGTTTTATTGCATTGCTTCAACTTGCGAACAGCCCGATATAGAAACTTAACTTCCTATTATAGGAAAAAGAATGGCTGTGGTTCAAGTAAAATATTAAATTATAAGCTTTTTTTCACCCTAAAGACAGCTATATTGCTAAGTAAATGCCCCACCTCCACCCTAGCCTTTTATTCCAGTTAGTCACGTGATTAACGAGTAATAGAACTGCAATCAATTAGCTCTTAGGTGACAGCATGAACTACCTAAAACTTGGTTTAATGATTATCTAACTCTTATAGTTTCTTTTCTCTTTTATGTATGTGTGACCTTATCACTATGGGTAAACATTTTTACAAGGTTATTTACTTTTAAACAGAATGACCAAAGAATACGTCTGGAAGCAACAACGATGAAAGGTATGTTTTTTCTTTTTGTTATTATTTTTGTATATTTTGAGCCATAAGTGAATAAATAAGAAAACAAGTAATCAGAAAATAATGGGCTACGGTCACCTAAAATATAAGCTCTTCAGATATTTAATGTAAGAAATTAAAAAGAAAAGAATTTATGGTTTTAGTATGGTATACCATGCAGTTAACTCAGTTATCATGAACTTAAGAAAGACTTATGAAATTAGTTTCTGTAGGGAGAAATGATACAAACTTTTGAAGATTTTATAAATTATATTATATGAACTAGAGATAACAGTGTTTTCAACTGAAGCAAATATCAAAATAAGAAAATTTCAAAATGCCTACAACTAAATTGCAAACAATCACTTTAACAAGTATCTTCCTGCATATGAAGTTTAGAAATAAGAGATAGGTCTTTGAATTTAGTAGTTTTCCTAGTATTTTCAAGGTGACAAATAGAATGGTAAACAGAGGGAAAAAATGTTATCTGATGAGCATAAAACTATATGTAAAATTAAAGTATAAAGGAAGACCATAATAAAATTTAATAGATCAATGGAATTGTGTGGTTAGAACCAAAGGAATGATATTAATATAATTAATACAATTGTCTAATAGAGGCACAAAAAACATAAGTTTCTATAAAATTATTATAATTTGAATGATAAATTAACTATAAATAGTTATCATTACCTTATTATCATCACATGAATTTTTTTTAAAAAAGTTAGATGCATTTTGCTGGCAATTGCTACAAATATCTCTCATGCTGTCCTGTAATAAATAATGTTAGATAATATGGTTAAAACTGAGGACATTTCTAATACATAGTAATTATAAAAATAACAGTCTTATGATATCTGGAATGTATATGTATTTTTGGAAAATATCTTTTGTCTGGCTCAGTTAACTAGGCACAAAAAATAGTTTTCGTCAATTTAAGAATAAGCAATTATCTATACAAATCTCACATATTTTGAGCTACTTCTAGACTTCATAATTTATTCCCAGAATTTAGAATCTGATTCATTTAGGGAAATAGAAGTATCTATTTTAGAGATTATACTATATAGACAAAGTACTGTAAAATTTGAAACCATGAAGTCTAAATAAATTTTAAAAGTTATTTGACCAATTTCTTGCTACCATCAGATGAAAAGGAAAATATACATTAGAATAAGGAGAAAACCTCTTCACATGAGACTTAAAGCTAAAATTTATTTTCCAGCACTTTTAACAGTGCAATTTGTCTGTGATAGTTGAGGCAGAACTTTGCTGAGAAACACTGAGATTGAATGAGTGTGTGCGTACTATATTGTAGGAGTGGAAAGGCGAAATCATACATCTACATTTTTCAATCTAAGGAGAGTAGTAAAAGAAGCTGGGGAGGCTTAGCTGCAGTAACACAATCCTCTCAATGCTGGAAGCCGTATGGAAAATCAGATTTTGGTTCCTGGGCAAACCTGTACATGCTGGTTTGCATTCACATGTCTGTGTTCATGACTGACTGGGGAGGGATGCAGGAAGAAGAATCACTGGAGACCTTACTCAAGGTGTTTGGCTCTCTCTCTCTTATTCTCTCATGAAAGAAGAAAGGAAGCTTTAAAAAAGGTGGGGATTTCCTGAATCAAAAATTTAGTTGACATACTAGAAAGAATTTCCTAATGATTTTTATTATCTTATATGCACAGGGTTACACTAACTCTATCCAACAAATGATAATCCCATCCTATCAGAGCCTCTAGAAGGCTTCAGGCAATCTTGATCCATCCCTACATTGAAGTAACATAGAAGCAGGATAAGAAGTGGATCAATGACAAGATTTAATGATGGATTTCTAATCTTCATCTAAGCTTGTATTATTATTATTCTTGAGAGTTTTTTGCTATAGGGCGCGTGCGCTCACCAGAAAGACAGAGAGAGACATAGAAATAGAAAGTGAGAAGTGACCCCCCAGGGAGGATGGCCATACTGCAATCTCTTCTCATCCATTCTCCTCTCTGGATCTTGGGCATGCATGCACACGCGTCCGGAGTGAGTTTAAGCCACCGGGTCCGGGACTTGAACCACGGTTGGCTACGTGGGAGTCCAGCCACATAACCATTACGCTAACTGCTGGTCCCAAGCTTGTATTATTTTTATGTCCTGTGAAAAGCATATGTGCTCTCTTGGTTTATCTTGACTATAGCATGTATATATTAGGCTCACCCAGCCTCAGTGGTGTAAGCTGCTAAGATGCTGCTGCTCCGGAGACTGGGACCACGTGGGAGGTCTGGGTTCAATTCTTAGCATTAAAAGCATACTCCTGTAACGCAGTGACTTAGGAGGATGGAGTGGGAGGATCTTGAAGTAGTAAGATCATCCTAAATGTTTTTTTTTTTTTTTTAAGGACCAGTAGATGGTGTTACGATTACATGGCTGGACTCCCATGTAGTCAACCACAGTTCAAGTCCTGACCCAGTGGCTTAAAACTAATGCCAGGCTTGTGTGCGTAAGTGCCCAAGATCCCAAGAGGAGAATGGAGTATAAGGGATTGTGGCATAGTCATCCCCCCACCCCCCCGGAGGGTGATTTCTTAGTTTATGTCTCTGTTTCTATGGCAAGCACATGCACACCCTATAGCAAAAATCTCTCTAAAATGTTTTTAAATCAGATACTGTCTTATCTGCAGAAAGTAGAGTTTGAATAGATATCCATTCAACCATTGAACACTTACAAAGGTCTATTGTGCAAGGTCTTCTGCTAAAGCCCTATATGGAAACAAAGATTAAAAAAACAAAACAAAACAAAACAAAAAACATGGTCCTGGTTTCTTGTGCCATTTGAAATAAAGGGTGGATGCTGCATACCTTGGACACATTTACATCACTTTTTATCTTTATAAAAATATGCTTTTGGAGGGAACCAGCAGTTAGCGTAATGGCTATGTCGCTGGAGTCCCACGTCGTCGACCACGGTTTGCATCCCAGACCTGGTGGCTTAAAACTCATGCCGGGCGCGTGTGCGTGCATGCCCAAGATCCCGAGAGGAGAATGGAGAAGGGATTGCGGCATGACCATCCCCCCTGGGGGGTGATTTCTTGCTTTCTGTCTCTCTGTCTTTCTCTGTCTGTCTGGTGAGCGCATGCGCCCTATAGGAAAAACCTCTCCAAAAAAAAAAAAATATGCTTTTGGAAACAGAAGATTTATTAGTGTCAACCATCCCAGTCATACTCCAAATATCTCAAACATTAAATATATATTTTCTATAACCATTTCACAATGTCATTATACACATTAATAACCAGATAATGGAGAATTAATATTTGTCTTTCAGGATTTTTTTTCTCCCCTATTGACTTCCATTTAATCCCAAGGAGGACAAAAAAAAATCATACATAAAATTTTCTTCAATAAAACATAGGGCATTTAATTTCTGCCACACCATCCTTTGAAAGAGAAGGAAGACAAAGGCACACTGAGTCCGTATAATAGGTCCCAATTCACCAAAGAATCATATAAAAATATACCACAGGAAGAATGTCAATGTCCTGGAGCATTGTAACAAATTGCCTAAGACATGAATATTTGAGAAGCCATTGCGTTTGAATGAAAGGCCATTGCTCTGGGTAACTAGTAAAACTCCTTATGGCAGATCTACAGAAAGATAAGGTTTTACCATTTAATTCATTTGCCAAATGTTTGATACAGAATGTACTGTTGTTATCATACCTTTAAAGGTTTACTTCTATTGATGTCACATTATTCTTAACTAGGTTGCTTAGTAAATTTCATGAATACATTTGACATAGATCTATGTATTTGAATAAAGTTTTCATTCAAAAATCTAACAAAAGAGTAGCTTAGAGTAAGAATCATAGAATCATAGCATTAGCAAGAACTTTATATATCTATCTCTTGATTTAACAGAGTACAATTACTTTAACAAGGTTGCAGTTATAGCTTCTTATATGCATCTTTATATAAGTGAACATTTCTTCAAGTTTATTCTAAATATGGAAATTCACAAAAGAAAAGCTATGATTGTATTGACTGAATTGCAATATTTTCCAAGATAAAATGTGATTTTTATATGACTTGTTCCTGAAATACATGATGTTCTTTCAATTTGTAGAATTAGCTCTCCTTTCATTTTTATATATTTTTTCTATTTAAAAGTCTTTTCTTTAGAAATACTAACTATATATAAAATGGATTTTTCTATTTCACTTTTTCTTTTATGTATTTATCTATTTTCTAAAATTTTCATTTTGTGTGGGTTTTCTTACCACCTTGTTTTCCATATGCCTATTCTAATTAGGGCCTCATTTATGGTTTTATTCCATTCTCAGTTTTTTCCTTTAAATATAACTATCTCATCTTCATTTTTTTCTGTTATTTCTTCAGTGAGATTATATTGGTTTTAGTTCATTTTACTTTGTTTTCTTGAAGAATGTTAAAAAGACATGTTTGCGGGAACCAGCAGTTAGTGTAATGGCTATGTCGCTGGACTCCCACGTAGTCGACCGTGGTTCGTGTCCCGGACCCGGTGGCTTAAAACTCACGCCAGGCGTGTGTGCGTGTGTGCCCAAGATCCCGAGAGGAGAATGGAGGAGAAGGGATTGCGGCATGACCATCCCCCCTGGGGGGTGATTTCTCGCTTTCTGTCTCTATGTCTCTCTCTGTCTGTCTGGCGAGCGCACGCGCCCTACAGTGAAAATCTCTCAAAAAAAAAAAAAAAAAAAAACAAGTTTGCCCATTTCTTCTTATATCTATCTATCTATCTATATATATACATAAAACTTTAAAATTAAACCCTCTATATTCATTATAAAAAATTGGGAATGCTAATATATTCTTTATAAAATTTTATATATGTACAGTTTTATATCTTTAACAACTGCCTACTCAATTTTATATATTTTAAATATGTTAATAAATAGAATAAATAGATTCCCAATTTTTTATAATGAAT